ACCACTTTGAGCATATTCAACAGATGAAATAGAAGCTATATCTAAATCTGAACCGATTTCAACGATTTCTGGAAACTTAACACACATCATTCCAGACCTCATCCATAACGCAGTGCCAAATTTCGTGCAAATCGAAAGATATATAGGGACTTTGGTAGACCATTTACATTAAATCGGACGAAAATATATATAGGAGCTATATCTAAATCTGAACCGATTTTCAGGAAACTTAACACACACCATTCTATAACTAATTCATTACGCTGTGCCAACTTTGGTGCAAATCGAAAGATATATAGGGACATTGGTGCACCATTCAGATTAAATCGGATGAAAATATATATGGGAGCTATATCTAAATCTGGACCGATTTTCAGGAAACTTAACACACACCATTATATTCCTAATTGATTACGATGTGCCAACTTTCGTGCAAATCGAAAGATATATAGGGACTTTGGTGCACCATTTAAATTAAATCGGACGAAAATATATATGGGAGCTATATCTAAATCTGTACCGATTTTCAGGAAACTTAACACACATCATTCTATACCTAATTCAGTACGCTATGCCAAATTTCGTGGAAATCGAAAGATATATAGGTACTTTGGTGCCACGTTTACCTTAAATCGGACGAAAATATATATGGGAGCTATATCTAAATCTGAACCGATTTTCACGAAACTCAGCACACACCATTATGGACCTAATTCAGTACACTATGCCAAATTTCGTGCAAATCGAATGATATATAGGTACTTTGGTGCCTATATCGGGCGAAAATATATATGGGAGCTATATCTAAATCTGACCCGATTTTCACGAAACTCAGCACACATCATTTTGGACCTCATTCAGTACGCTATGCCAAATTTCGTGCAAATCGAATGATATATAGGTACTTTGGTGCCTATATCGGGTGAAAATATATATGGGAGCTATATCTAAATCTGAACCGATTTTTCCCAATTTCAATAGGGTTCGTCCTTGGGCCAAATAAGTGACCTATGCCAAATTTCATCCAAATCGGATCATAAATGCGACCTGTACTTTGTTTACAATTTTACATCGACAGACAGACGGACGGACGGACATGCATAAATCGACTCAGAAAGTGATTCTATGCATATTCTCAAAAGGAACCATGTGCCTATCTCGTTTCCTTTTGCCTGTTACAAACATATGCACAAAGACATAATACCCTGTACCACAGTGTGGTGAAGGGTATAAATATGTGTGTGTGTGTGTACAACAATAATTTCACACTTAATGTCATTGAGACTGACATTCGAATATAACAATAAAAACAAAAAGAATTCTCATACGTATGTGTGTGTGTACATGAAAAACAAACACTTCAAACTTACAAGTGTTAATGTGTATGTTCTCCGAGAACGATAACACAATTTTTATGTGTGTGTGTGTTCGTTCATTTATTAAAGTAAATTACTGGCGCTCCCTCCTTCCATGCAATAAGTCTTCACCATCATCGAAACAGCCATAAAACATCGCCGAAAAAAAAGAAATAAAAACGGAGGAGAAGAAGAAGACGTCATTCACATGAAAAAGTAATTTCATTGTTCAGCAATCTTTTCCATTTTAATTACCTTTAAGGTGCTATAATATTACAACACACATACACACACACTATTATGTACATGTGAGTAGATATGTATATACAATATATGTATATATTTAGGGAGCCATTATTTATATATATTTTTTTCTGTTTCTGGTAATATATTTAAGTATGGCAGTTAGTTTTTGCTGTTTGGTATTTCTAACTGTTGCCATTACAAGGATAACAAAGGGAGTCCTTGAACAAATGTCCTGAACAGAAACAACCAATTACAACAACAACATAATAAAAAGGAAAATTACTCAATTAACCCCATAAACTATAAAGACGACAGATGAATTTCTTGCATTAAATATATTATGGGGAAGAAAAAATCATTACCTTTAATAGAAGTGGGTTCTTAAAACAATATCTTTTTTTGGGGTATACAATTAGGAGAGGATTTTTAACACTTATTTTTTAGGGTATACCAATAGGCGTGAATTTTTTTATGAATATTTTTCAATAAGCGTGGATCTTTTAAAAATGGCGCGGATTTTTTAAAATTCTTTTTCAGGGTATAAAGGGTATATGCCTAAACATAGGCACCGAAAATTATTCTTAAATTATTATTCACATTCTGAGTCGATATACGTATGTCCGTCTGTCCGTCCATCCGTCTGTCTGTCCGTCTGTAGATGTTAAATTGTAAACAAATTACAGGTCGTATTTATGATCCGAATTGGATGAAATTTGGCATACGTCACTTATTTGGCCCAAGGACGAACCCTAATGAAATTCGGAAAAATCGGTTCAGATTTATATATAGCTCCCATATATATTTCCGTCCGATTTTATGTAAATGGTGCACCAAAGTCCCTATATGTCTTTCGATTTGCACGAAATTTGGCATAGCATAATGAATTAGGTCTAGAACGATGTGTGTTAAATTTCCTGAAAATCGGTTTAGATTTAGATATAGCTCCCATATATATATTTTCGTCCGATTAAAGGTAAATAGTATAACAAAGTCACTATATATCCTTCGATTTGACCGAAATTTTGCATGGGGTACTGAAGTAAGTCTAGAATGATGTATGTTAAGTTTCCCGAAAATCGGTTCAGATTTAGATATAGCTCCCATATATATAGTTTCGTCCGATTTAAGGTAAATGGTATAACAAAGTCCCTATATATCTTTCGATTTGCACGAAATTTGGCACAGCGTACTGAGTTAAGCCTAGAATGATGTGTGTTAAGTTTCGTGAAAATCGGTTCAGATTTAGATATAGCTCCCATATATATTTTCGTCCGATTTAAGGTAAATGGTTTACCAAAGTCCCTATATATCTTTCGATTTGCACGAAATTTGGCACAGCGTAATGAATAAGGTCTAGAATGATATGTGTTAAGTTTCGGGAAAATCGGTTCAGATTTCGATATAGCTCCCATATATATTTTTGTCCGATTTAATATAAATGGTGCACCAAAGTCCCTATATATCTTTCGATTTGCACGAAATTTGGCACAGCGTAACGAATTAGGTCTAGAATCATGTGTATTAAGTTTCGTGAAAATCGGTTCAGATTTAGATATAGCTCCCATATATATTTTCGTCCGATTTAATGTAAATGGTGCAACAAAGTCCCCATATATCTCTCGATTTGCACGAAATTTGGCACAGCGTAATGAATTAGGTCTAGAATGATGTGTGTTAAGTTTCGGGAAAATTGGTTTAGATTTAGATATAGCTCCCATATATATTTTCGTCCGATTTACTGTAAATTGTGTACAAAAGTCACTATATATCTTTCGATTAGCACGAAATTTGGCACAGCATAATGAATAAGGTCTAGAATGATGTGTGTTAAGTTTCGGGAAATTCGGTTAAGATTTAGATATAGCTCCCATATATATTTTCGTCCGATTTAATGTAAATGGTGCAACAAAGTCCCCATATATCTCTCGATTTGCACGAAATTTGGCACAGCATAATGAATTAAGTCTAGCACGATGTTTGTTAAGATTCCTGAAAATCGGTTCAGATTTGAATATAGCTCCCATATATATTTTCGTCCGATTTAAGGTAAATAGTCCACTAAAGTCCCTAAATATCTTTCGATTTGCACGAAATTTGGCACAGCGTAATGAATTAAGCCTTGAATGACGTGTGCTAACTTTCGTGAAAATCGGTTTAGATTTAGATATAGCTCCCGTATATATCTTCGCCCGATTTTAGGTAAATAGTCCACTAAAGTCCCTATATATCTTTCGATTTGCACGAAATTTGGCAAAGCGTACTGAATTAAGTCTAGAATGATGTGTGCAAAGTTTCGTGAAATTCGGTTCAGATTTAGATATAGCTCCCATATATATTTTCGTCCGATTTAAGGTAAATGGTGTACCAAAGTCCCTATATATCTTTCGATTTGCACGAAATTTGGCACAGCATAACGAATTAGGTCTAGAATCATGTGTTTTAAGTTTCCTGAAAATCGGTTCAGATTTAGATATAGCTCCCATCTATATTTTCGTCCGATTTAAGGTAAATCGGGCGCCTAATTCCCTATATATATTTCGATTTGCACGAAATTTTACATAGCCTACTAAATTAAGTCTAGAATGATGATTGGTGAGTTTCGGGAAAATCTGTTGAGATTTAGATATAGGTTCAATATTGATTTTCGTCCGATTTCATGTAATTGTTCCTTGGAGGGAATATTGACATTGACAATTGTAAGGATACATATGTACAATATACCTAAAGTAGTGAAGGGTATCATATAGTTGGCCCAGTCCGACTTTACTACTTTCCTTACTGGTTTAGGGTATACAATTAGGAGAGGATTTTTAACTCTTATTTTTTAGGGTATACCAATAGGCGTGGATATTTTAAAAATATGTTCTTTTTTCAAGGCATACAAATAAGCGTGGATCTTTTAAAAATGGCGTGGATTTTTTAAAATTATTTTTCAGGGTATACAGGGTATATGCCTTTTCAGGGTATATGCCTTTTCAGGGTATATGCCTTTTCAGGGTATATGCCTAAACTTAGGCACTGAAAATTATTTTTAAAAGACAGAGTATAAACCACGGCCTCGATTTTTTAAATTATTTTTCAGTGTATAAACCTAGGCGTATATTTTTCGTAAAAATATTTGTATAGGCTATACATATAGTTGCGGAGTATTTAAATTTATATCTTATAGTGCCTAAAAATAGGCAAATATATTTTTTAAACATATATTTTTTCAGCTCTAACATACAACATAATTAAAATGCTCAATTTAATTGAAATCGTCATTAGCATAAAAAAATGAATGGATCATTAACTCCTGTCCTGTATCGAGGAAATCACTCCCACCCAAAAATAAGCCATTTATTTTTCATTTCAATGGATTGGGTTTTAGTTCACTCTGAACCATTGAACCTAGAAAATATGGCCCAGTCTACACAGCGAAGGCAACTGAAAAGGAGAAAACAATTCGAAGTCTATTGTCTGGGGAATTTGAAAAAATATCTAAAAGAAACCAGCCTACATGGTCTCAAGTATTTGGTGGACAGCTCACTGACATTTTGGGAAAAGTAAGAAAAAATGTGATGTAAAAAAAAATCTGTTCATTTTTGGAACTTTGAATCGCCGAACCTTTTTTCCAGATCCTTTTTCCTCACGGCCTTTATTTTCTGCTGCATGATTGTGATCCATCTTGTAGCGAATATCTATGCCAAATGGGATAGTACCCCGGTGATAATTGGTATAAGTCCAAATCCGACACCGATTGTGAAGCTACCACTGCCAGCCTTGATTTTGTGTAACATGAATCAGGTCATGTATTCGAAGGTTGCTAATTATAGCAAGTAAGGGGATTGAATTTCATAAAAAAACGGGGATTATTAATTTATTCGACTTTTTTTTCCAGAGGTTCCAAGGAACATGCCCTGTTACAATATTTATGTTATTCCGAAATTGCCCATGATAGTAAAGCGGCAAATGCGAAGGAATTTAAAAATAACGATTTGGAGCTGTCGGATTTTATTATTGCGGTAAGCGGTATTGGGAAATCATGAAACTTCAGTTCTAAAAATGAATCCTCTTTTTGTTACAGCATTCCCAACCCTGCTCTCGAATGATGGTCTCCTGTGCAATCGGTTCTGTGACGTACAACTGCAGTGAGCTATTTCGTGAAGTTGTAACGGATGAGGGTCTCTGCTGTGCCTTCAACACATTACACCCGAAATTGAATTATAGAAAGAAGTAGGTACAAAAAAATTCTCACCTAAGGGTGGGCAATGAAATTTTATTTTTAAAAAAATTCACGTCCATATCTGGGCACTCAAAAAATAGCCCAAATTGAGGCTCAGGAAAAAATATTTTAAATATCCCCGCCTATATTTAGGCTCAGGAAAAACATTTTTTAAAAAATGCACGCCTTAATGTAGGCTTTAAAAAATATTGCAAAAAAATCCCCGCCTATATGCATGCCTTGAAAACATATCCACCCCTATATTTAGGCCTTGAAACCCTATTTTTAAAAAATCCACTCAAAAAATAGCCTACATTTAGGCCTTGAAAAAATATTTTAAATATCCCCGCCTATATTTAGGCCTTGAAAAAAGTATATTTAAAAAAATTCACGCCTAAATGTAGACCTTAAAAAATATTGTAAAAAAATCCGCGACTATATGCATGCCTTGAAAACATATTTTTAAAAACCACCCCCATATTTAGGCCTTGAAACCCTATATTTGAAAAATCCACGCCTATGTGTAGGCCTTGAAAAAATATTTAAAAAAAAATCTACACCTATTTGTATACCTCAGAAGAATATATTATTTATCAAATATTCCAGCTATCACACACTGGGTGGCCTTAAAAATGCTGCTGATGTTGTAGCGGTTGATTGGAATCCTGAAATGGGTTATCAGGCAAATTTACCCCCTAAATATTATCCACGGCCAACATTGGGTAAGTTCCCTGGCAGCCGGGAAATCAATTATTTTTCTAACCCCCCCTCCCTCATCAACCCTATCATAGGTACCGGCATCTCCATGGGCGTTTCAGTCATCCTAAATGCCGAAGTTGATGAATACTACTGTTCGACGAGCAATAGTGCCGGCTTCAAAGTAAATCTTGGCACTCCCATTGATAGACCCCTGGTCGGTGAAACTGGCGTTATTGTACCATTGGGCGCCACAACCAATTTTCGTATCGATGCCCAAATTACGCAATCCTCACCGGCCATACGTTCGATAAATCGCCGTCGACGGCGTTGTCTGTTCCTCAATGAAGAGTCCCTCGTGTTTTATCGTTACTACACGAAGGCGCATTGTGAACATGAATGCCTTTCGGCGTTCCTAATCGAGCGGTGTGGTTGCATTCCCTTCTATCTGCCGGTTATCTATGCGAATGCCACCTTTTGTAACATCAGTCGGATGTTTTGTGCGGATAAGGCCAAGGTGGAATATTCCCGGGTCACTGATGATAACTGCGTCGATCGCTGTGAGACAACCTGTTTTGATTTGAAATTTATGCCGCGTGCCTATACCTCACCCCTGGCTATGCATAATTATACGATACAAAGTGAAATATTGGCGTCCATGCCCAAGGAGGAGATGCACAGGAATATTGCCGTTTTGCATTTCTATTATCGTGAATCGGTCGTGCATGCGGAACTGAAAAATGTCTATATTGGGTTTACGGAATTTTTGTGTAAGTTTGGAAAATATTCCCAAGGCTCTGATTCAAAATTTGAAAATTCTTCCCTTTTGAAATTTCCAGCCAATACCGGTGGCATTTTGGGCCTCTTTATGGGCTTCAGTTTTATTTCCATAGCCGAAATTTTCTATTTTACATTTCTAAGGCCAATTTTCAAATTTGTGGTGCCGAGGAAATATCGCAACTCACCATTGATACGACACGTTCGTGCAGCTCCGAGGGTAAGTGGTGGTCGAGAGAAAATATTTCCATTTAACCTCACTTTTTTCACGGGGTTCTGCCTTTTTTAGGAAAATAAAAATTGGCTGCCAGGGGAAATATGTAAAGCTGCCTTGAAGCCTAATCCGCCAACAAGAGAGGAGAAGGTCAGGGTATAACCTTAGGCGTAGATTTTTTAAAAAAATATTTTTTAGGGTATAACCTTAGGCGTGGATTTTTTAAAAAATATTTTTTTAGGGTATAACCTTAGGCGTGGATTTTTTAAAAAATATTTTTTCAGGGTATAACCTTAGGCCTGGATTTAAAAATATATATTTTTAGGGTATAACCTTAGGCGTGGATTTTTTAAAAAATATTTTTTAGGGTATAACCTTAGGCGTGGATTTTTTAAAAAATATTTTTTAGGGTAAAAATATTTTTTAGGGTATAACCTTAGGCGTGGATTTTTTAAAAAATATTTTTTAGGGTATAACCTTAGGCGTGGATTTTTTTAACATATTTTTTCAGGGTATAACCTTAGGCGTGAATTTTTTAAAAATATTTTTTAGGGTATAACCTTAGGCGTGGATTTTTTAAAAAATATTTTTTCAGGGTATAACCTTAGGCGTGGATTTTTTAAAAAATATTTTTTAGGGTATAACCTTAGGCGTGGATTTTTTAAAAAATATTTTTTAGGGTATAACCTTAGGCGTGGATTTTTTAAAAAATATTTTTTAGGGTATAACCTTAGGCGTGGATTTTTTAAAAAATATTTTTTAGGGTATAACCTTAGGCGTGGATTTTTTAAAAAATATTTTTTAGGGTATAACCTTAGGCGTGGATTTTTTAAAAAATTTTTTTTAGGGTATAACCTTAGGCGTGGATTTTTTAAAAAATATTTTTTCAAGGTATAACCTTAGGCGTGGATTCTTTAAAAAATATTTTTTAGGGTATAACCTTAGGCGTGGATTTTTTAAAAAAATATTTTTTAGGGTATAACCTTAGGCGTGGATTTTTTAAAAAATATTTTTTCCAAGCCATAGTATAACCTTAGGCGTG